ATCAAGGATATTCCTTGACTTTTGGAGCTTGCTCAGGACACAGTGAACTTCCTGGCCTCATGTCACCCCACCTGCAGACAGGGGTAAATGGGAAGACCAGTGGTTCATAATGTGTTTCATACACTCATCCCCCTCCTACACACCTTCCCTGTTGTTTTGTTCATGTGATTTGTCACCTATTGCAATCCAAAAATACATAAGGATGATATGGTAAGACAGGTTGAGCAGGAAGAACCACTTTCATATATCTTTTATCATCATATACTATAATTGTTCCCTTTTATTGTCAGTTATTGCTGCTTAATTTTTATGTCTATTTTATACATTAAACTTTACCCAAAGGTATGTATGTACAGATGGTTTCCAAGTTAGGGTAATTCCACTTAATACACTTTTCATTTTATGATAGTGCAAAAGCGATAAACTTTCAGAGAAAACATACTTCCAGCATACATACAAGTATTCTGTTTCTCACATTCAGTATAATATTCAATAAATTACAAGAGATAGTCAACATTTAATTCTGAAATCAGATTTTTGTCAGATGACTTTTGCCCAACTATGATGTATTAAATTATTTCCAATTATGATATTTTCAGTGTGATGGATTCAGGGGCACATAAGCCCATCATAAGCCAAGAAACACATTTATAGAAAAATTAATGTGTATAGAACTGGGTGCTATCTCCAGTTTCAGGTATCTCCTGGGGGACTGGGGAGCTTTTAAAATTATCCACTACAGATAAAGGGGGAACTAGTGTATTTAGTATTTTTTTTTATTTAAAACATTTGTAATTTGCAGTGTTCTTATTGAGATTATATTGTTTTGATTACTGATATTTTATTAAAAAGATTATTTTACAAGGTTAATTTCTACTTTGATCATTAATTTGTACTCCAGAAGAAACAAAATAAGAGATGGAGACATTCTTCTGATGAAGCTTCTATGGAACTAATATGCTGTCACTCGCAAATGCACTAGAAGAAGAATGATAAACTAAACATCAACAACTCTTCTTATATCTTAGAACTGATGTCACAGGATAAGCAGTCCCCT